CCCCAAAACCCCAAAACCCCAAAACCCCTCATATTGAAATTAAGATAAAAATAAGAATAAGTGGTAAAGAAAGTTTCAATAATCATTTGAATCTATTTTCATATTTATTGAGTTAGCACCAGATGTAGATAGATGCTCCAATTACCATCATCATTCCATAGTTTAATAGTGAGTTCCATGCACTGCTTTTTCCCACACCATGATCCTCTAAATGATCAAATATCTCATCTACTTCTCGCATGTCATAGAACACTTGTCCAGAGATAGCTTAATGTCTGTCACTCTTGGCTTTAACATAAAGATTATCAGTTGTGTCAATTTCATTATAAACGCTCTTTTCTAGCCTACTAAGAGTATAAACCAGCTCATCGTTGCCTCTCTGCATCTTTACCATTGCATCCTTAATGCTCGCTAAGACTTTAGAAAGATCACTTATTTATTTGTTGTTTAATTCCCTCTGAGTCACACTGTTTGCCATATCCTAATGGAACCTAACTCTCTTGAGCTCTTTTTCTAAATATATAATCTTAAAAGACTGTTGATCTAGATCATATGATAGAACATTTAGAGTGTTCTTGAAAAGGTAGACCTTCTCCATGAGTTAAGTGAAATCTGGCTTTTTAATGACTGAGTGCACAATATGCATATACCTCTGCTGAATTAAGTCCTCAAACGTCACGACTCTTTCAAGGGAATGAGTCAAGTTCATATGTGTTACTGGGATCAAATTGTAGAGTTAGGTAAGGTTTTAATGATTTGAATCATCTATTTCATTCTTTTTTAATTAGTTGAAGATATTCTTCAGAGCTTCTTGATAAAGCTATTTGGTTTCCAAATAGGTGGCTTTTGTTTTTCTAGCTTGTTAGAAGTGTTAGTTCTCTGCAATATTGTGAGCAGCATAGAGTTTGAAACTCCTAAGATAGATGTGATCTTGAGTCTTCAGCCCGCTACTACCTCCGAATAAAAAGTATCCATTGAAGGCGAAAGAATCATCTATCGGTTGCTACACACATTACTCAAACTCCTTTGTCTAAATGTCATAGGTAGAGAGAGTAATCAAATTCATCTCGAATTTAAGTCTCATTTTGAAGTAAGAATTCTCAGGTTAGTTTTTATACTTTCTAAAGCACACATTCTTCCAGTTTATTGGAGTTTGTATCTTGCGCCCATCGCTTACGATCATCGAAATACTCTGGGCTAGTTTACGATCAGCAGTTTGATTATGATGAAGAGTGTTTAGGAATATGCCCAAGCCATTAAACATCTTAGAATACTCAGCTTGCTGGTCTTAATGAATAGTAAGATCTACATCCCTAACATAGTATATTCCAAGGATACTGCCTGGTCTGAATGTTTGAGCAGTATTGCCTATATTGATCTCAATATCTGCAATCCAAGCTTAAGGGAATGGATTGGTGTGAGCAGTGTAAAACATTCCCTTTGCTTCCTTAGATTAAGGCACAATTACCACTTTATTCTTATGAATCACAGTTGTGCCCAGAGCTCTCCAATTGGCAAAATCTCTCTTACTTAGAGGGAAATCCAAGTAATGATCATGTGAAACCTAGAGTGGGAGATCTTCCTAGATAATTTCTTATGCTAGGCCTTCAGATATCAATCCATAAAAAAGAACTGGGATAATTAAAAACTAAGCTTTCATTAAAGATTTTATAACTAAATATATATTTATAAATTAATCCTTGCAAATTCAAGAATATTCTTTTGAGGGGTTTTGGGGTTTTGGGG